ATAAATACAGTATCGGTGAAATATAAGTTGTAAATCTATGAATGATGACTGTATATCTAAGTTTTTTAAATTGGAGCAAAAACAACGAAAGCGATGTTGAGTAAGTTCTGATACCCTATTCGCTGCCAAGTTTTGGTAAACCAATTTACAACTTTGTGAGATTTATTAATATTCTAAGTAATTTGGGAAGTTGATTACCATAGACTACAAATAATGGTGGTAATTAATTTTATCTAATAAATAACATTATTTTTCACGGTTTCATTGTTAATGTACATTCATTTCAAAATCCTCTATTTTTCCAATTTAGAACGCTGAAAGCCTTTGGCGTAAATCACTTAATTCGCGCCGTTTATTTTCTATTGGGATAATTTTAGATGCACTGAATCATGGGGCAATCTGCCAGATTTCAAACTAATAATAATTTATTCCTAAAGGTAACGTAAACACCGAACCCTAACGGCTACATACTACGCCTAGTAGCCTTGATGTTTGAGGTTATTAATAAAATGGAAAAATTGGGACACATCGAGACCTGCATCAGGAATTGTTTATTTGACTTTTGAAAATTATCACTATTGTAGTTAGTGTCAGGTTTGTTGAGAAAATTTATAATATATTATGAGTTGCATAAAGTCTTTGTTTAACACTTTTGGGGCATTAGGAAAGATACGTTTAATAGTTTTGCAACTCTAAACTTTATAAACAAACAGTAACTAATTAGTATGAGTCAATTTTTGAAGAAATGGTGCTGGCGCCTCGTCTGTAGTGGTAAAAGTGACCTTCGGGGAATTATTACAAGTACAAGGATTTAAAACTATACACGAAATGTCAAGTAACACAACAGCTGAGTAATCATGATATAGAAAATGATTTAAATATTTAAGGACAACCTTACGACGAGGCGTTCTGAGAAACATTCTTGTAAAATGTTAAAAAATAATTCCAGTTCTTATTTGTTACGTTTGACATTCACCACCTTTACATCCAATAAACTGTTGAAGAAATTGTCACAATTAACAAAAATTACATCTTTTTGTATTTATTAATAACTAATGATATTGCAGGAAACAGCTACTGGTTCATTAATCGACCTTATTTTTTGCTAGAAGTGATAATTTCTATAAAAATTATATTAATTATTTCTTAGAAGTGTGTTTTATTCATTAATAATATATTATTTTATTTTTTTTATTATTAATTAATATTCGTGAGATATAATGTTCACTAGATAGGCATATGCAATTTAATGGTATTAGTCCTCAGAGTAGTTGATTCCTTCAATATAATTTGTTATTGAATAGCTTGTCCTTGAAGTTGCTCTTTAGCATACTTAGGTGTTGCTGTCAAAGAGCCAATACGTCATTAGATGAGAATTTCGAGCATATTTTTAGAATTAATTTGAATTAGCTTCATATTTTTTAAAAGCAGAATACAGAAATTAATATAAAAAATGTATAATTAAAGTCTACGTCGGGTTTAACACAGTATTTGGAACTGTGATTTAAGGCTTAGACAAAATGCTAATCTGAAAAATATATTTTAACAGAAAAAATGTATTTCCTAAATATTTACACCATCTTCTTTTGTTGTTGGAAATCTTTCGAAGGTTGGTTTTGCGGATACATAAATTCCACATCCCAAATATTTAACTACGAAAATATTACTGTTTGTTATTTGAGGTTTTTTTTAGACTACAGCGTTATTTGCATTTGTCTATTATTCTCATTGCCAGCTGTTGCCAAGTCAACAGTCTTGTGGGTTGCTTCACGAAAACGAACAAAAAGCATGTTAACGGAATTGCATCTACGATGATGATGATCGTTGTGGGTAGAAATGCAGTTTGGCCGGTGGTGAATCATATAATAGAGTTCTTGGGAGAGTCAATATTTAACTTATGCAAATCCATAATTATAAACCAAAAATGGTTTAGAGTAGGTGTTTTGCCGTCTCTGAAGTTTAATGCACTTTCCCAAAAGCCGGGGTTTGGTCTTTCTAAAAAGGTCGACTGTGGTTCCAACATAAGTACATATATCTAAAAAGCACCGTTATAACAGTGTTTTGGAACCACTTTTTACCATTTAACAGTATTTCGTTACCCCAAATTTGGGAGCTGAAGTACATTGGACTATATTTTTTATTTGCTTTTGTACATATTATATATTATTATTTATTTTTGGTTTATTTTTTCTGAGGTAAAATCCCAGCAAATCAGCAAAGTAATATAAATAACACGTATTTAGAAATGATATGAATATTATCTATAGTAGGATCATATTCGATGCAAAGTAATATATCATTGCCTGTCAAGGGATCCAGTGCAATGCGCTTTTAAGGGGTTCCTTTATTCTCATAAACTATTTATTTTATTGATTTACGACCCAGCTCGCCAGGTTAGTATTTGACGTGTAACCGACCAATATTCGATGCATCTGGGCGACTACTTGTACTACCAGAACACAGTGCGTATGCAGCGGTATTTCAGATTTTACATTCAATTATATTTTAAATTTGAAATGATTCATCTTACGCCTCCTAAAAATAATTACACAATTTTCCTTTGATAAAAGACCGACAATTTTTTGCTCTACTTTGCATCGAATACGATCCTACCATAACTAGTTTTCTTTCCTTTGCTGTCATTTAAATTCATTTTTAGTCGGCACAGTAGAAATATATTTATTTTAAGAATAAAGCAAGGACGTATTCTTAATTTATTTTGCAGTCAATAATTAAGGATAATTGTGAAACTAGTTTAGTGAAATTTACATAACAGAATCTTAAAGGTATATAATTGTATTATAATTATTCGGCTGATTATTATCTAGGTGATTTGATTGTTGAAGCAATAATATTTTAATGTATTTGCTTATTTGTTTATCATATATTATTTTCAACATTTTTTTCCTTAAGTCTGCTAAATGTATGTTTAAAAATTAATTTATTATTAATGTTATTTGATAAATTATTGTAACTTATTTTAGAAATAAGAAATGGTCCCATTTCTCACTCTTTCTTATTTCTAAAATAAGTTACAATGGAAAACTCACATTTATCAATTTTGAACTGATAAATTATTGTTATTTATATACAAGTATTTCATTATACATCCAGTACGTCAGCAAAGAAAACTTAGAAAGAATATCGCTAGTAAGATTATTTAGTAAAGAATGAAGAATGAATGTATATGCTAATGATTGTTATTTGTGGTACTTAACTGTGGGACTTTGAAATATTTATAAAAAGTAATTTGATAATTCAAAAACAGCAACAGAAAGAAAACAATTCTGCAAACAAAACAAAAAGAGAAATTATTATTTTTTGCATGTTTCAGTAACAAATGTCTTATTTTCTATATAATTTGTAAATTAATTTTTTTGAGATATTTTAATTCAGTTAAATTTCAAGTGCCTATCATTTGATTTATGCATTTTGTTTATACCAATTGTTGTTTGTAGGTATTTATTACTATTAAAGTAAATATGGTGGTGTCTTCATCGATAAAGGTGTTTATCTTGTAAACGGTTCATTTTATTGATAACGCAATACTCGCGCTTTTTCACTTAAAATTTTATGAAAATCTTAAAAAAGTAAACCTATAAATTGGCAATAATTTTGCCTGGATATCTTGTATTATTGTAATCGTAAAAAAATGTATCCGAATATGTACAAGTATAATGGGTGTTCCATTAAAAAAAAAATGCATGTCATATTTCGGTGAATTTGAAATTTTTTCACCTTTTTTTCTTAGAAGAGTAACGGGAAATGTAGGCAGTGACATATATGGTGGAGTGAAATTTTCACTCTATTAGTATGAGTACAACTGAGTGAAACTATTGCATCAGAAATTAGTGAGTTTTACTTTTGACTCTATTCTAAGTATATAAAACCAATTTAGAGTTGACTTTCTCTAATATGATTTAAATATAACTATTGAGTAATTTTTTACTCAGACTTGGTTTTTAATTAACTAAATATTGAGTGCAAAAATAAATCACTCATTATTAGGATTAATTAGGATATACAGTGTTGCCTGTCCTGGCTGAGACCCGTTAGCTGAGACCCACTTTTCTGGAGCATCCCGCGGATCTATATCAACTGTGGTCGAGATTACAGAAGCAATATGTAAGTGGTGCCACCATCACGGCGCCATTTAATTTACTCGAAATTAATATATATTTAAACTCGCTCAGTAATTAGGACATTTACTCTGATTTATGTACAAGTGCACCAAATAGGAGTTTACTCGAAGAATTTATTTAAGGCGTACTAAATTTGACTGAAAGTACTCAATTTTAGTTTAAATATGATCACAAATGAGTAAAATGATCAAAATGTCCAATATTGAATGAAAATGTACTCAATAATTTCACTCAAATTTCAAAAATTTCACTTCGAATCTTTATTGCTTTCACTCACGCCGATTTCTTTACAGTGTTGTCAGAAGAACAACAATTGAACGTCAGTTTAAAAGGATATGGTAAAAAAATTTATATTTTTGAAAAACTTTTAGTTTTACAGTAAATATTATAGGATATAGAAATTTATTTCAGTAGGTAGTGGTTGTTTACATATTAATTACTCATTCTATTTGATGGAACTAAAACATTACATTATTCATAAAGACGTACTGATTAAATTGATTTTTGGTTAAATCGGAAATCATCACAGAAATATGATCTTGTATAATTTTCTGCAGATAGATATAATGTATTTTTTTATTCAAAAATCATTAATTACATATTCCGATTCCGCAGAACTTTTTACTTATCTGTGTAGAAAATTGTAATAAAAAGTCAATTATAGACCATCATCTTGTTCAGAGTTATTCACATAACATTCTAGAAAAAAAATATTTACCTTCTTTTAGAGCTTAATTTGCTAATTTCATTGTAGTGTTCAGCTTTTACTAACCCGGGCAGGGTGTGATAAAATTGAGAGTTTCCCTTAATTAAAAATTATTTCAATAGAACGAGCTAGCTAATTAAAGAAAAACTCACGTTTCGTGGAACTCCGGCGACTTGGTCGAATTCCTGAAGGCCCCGGGGGGCGACAAACTTTCCGAATCCGAATAGGGGCTGGTGACCACCGAGTTGGAAGTCTTGTAATTTGCCGTAATCTTCTCGGGACTCCTCCGAATCGTCCCCTCCGTCAGACTCCTTTTCAAGGGATCGTATCGCCTTATCTCGTCCTTGTAGTATTCCTCGCGGAAATCACGCTTGATCGGCTGAGCACTCAACGCACTGGTGGTGAAAATGTCGTCGATGGGGTCGTTCTTCCTCAGCGTCGTAGGAGGGGGCGAGTTGTACCCGGAGTACTTGTTGAGGGTGTTATAGTTGGACACCGGCGAGTTCGAGAAGTTCGGCACTGGTTTCGAGGAGGAAAAGTCCGGATACACTTGGGTTTGCACTTTCCGCAGTGTGTCACCGGAACTCTTGTTGACGCTCGCCTTACGGACCAGGCTGGGGCTGGACAGCCCCTTGGAGTCGGTGATCATGGTCGTGTTGACGCCGTAACTGAACGGCTGGCTGGACTGGCGTGCGTGGTAGGGAATGTTCTTGTCCTCCTCCTCGTCTATGTAGCGCACATTCTCGAGGCCGAAGTCGCCGTCCGCGGCCGACTCCTGGTGCGGCTTCAGGTCGGGAATGCTTTGGACGGTCAGCATCATGTCGGAGAGCAGCTCGTCGAGCTCTCGGTGCTGGTCCTCGGGGGTCAGCGGAGAGGGCTGGGCCGTCGGTGGGGGGCTGGCGGAGGCGTTGGTGTTGGCGTTCTGCTGGTGTCCTGCAAGTCGGTCGAATGGTATTTAGTTAGAAATTCGCAACTGTGGGATGTATGCAATAAATAAAAGAAAAAAATTCACGTTTATGTGAAAAATACTTTAATTATGTGAAATACAGGGTGTTTGGAAAACTTGGTACAAGAGGTGAAAGTAGAGCCAAAAATAGTAAAAAAAGTTCCTATAAACATTGGTCCTCCGGAGCACCGTTACTGAGATATGGCTCTCTAATGGGGTCTTATCCTTTGGATATTTTTTAAAATAACTTTCTTTCTGATTAAGATAATGGAATGAACATTGTAGGTAATCATACCAAAAGAGTCTTTAACTGTCATAAGTTTCATCAAAATCGGTTATAAATAAGTATAGTTTTCTAATTACCCTTAACAAAAATTTTTCGATTTATTATTTAGCCAATTCTGCAATTGGTTTCAAAATCAAAATACAGGGGACCCCAAAGCTTTATTAAATGTTATGGACGAATGAGTGAGTGTTTATTTTAGCCGTACCCTCATTTTAAATAGGTAGGTAGCATAAGCAATAAATCACATAATAAGGTATACGTACTACAAACTGAATAATTAATTGATAATACTAAAAACTCATATTCAATTATAAAACGAAGTGAATATGTTAACAATCTTAAAGATACTAAATTGTATAACCTAACGTTCGGAAATTATTATCATTATACATTTGTTTTTATTAACAAATTAAAAATACTTGTTAATATTTAAAATGTAAAAAAATATCTCATCCATTCATGTGTCTAACTAAAAAGCTTTTGTTTATTCGATGTAGGTCCTTATGGATTAAAAAGGCATTAAAAGCTAGGTTTATAACCACATACTACGGTTGGTCAAAATTCATTCTGGATGAACCTTTGTGAGTCAGCGGTCAGGAGCGGTCTGAAAAGGGGTTTAAATAATGATTGAAAATATTTTTTTGCAGTGTAAATGTGCGTTTTAAAATTTTTTAACTATTTCTACTCATTTTTTCCCATCTTTCCTTAAAATTAATAACATTATTACTGAATGACTCTGTATATATAAACTGTTACATAATAATGAGTGGTTTTAATACTGATCATTTTGGAATTTAATTCAATTTTATTTTTTTTTTTCATCGCTTAACTATTTCTCTAAATATTTTCATATGGAGAAAATATTTGCAGATATCTTACTTTCAAATTTAACAATTTGGGCAACAATAAAGTAAATTATCGCCTTCAACACCTTCATTAGAGAAATAAATTAACACTTATGCGGAAACAAAGGAGAATATATACTTTACGACCTTCTAAGAATAAGTTATAAGGTTTTGTTTAATTATTATACACGTAATAGATATATTTACGATCTTCTTATCCACTTACGCAGACTAGAAGCGTCTGCCAGAATTATATGGTCGTATCAGTGACTTAAATTATTTTTAGTTTCGGGTATGCGTTCTGTTTTATGTTAGCTGCTGTAAATTCCTGCAGTGTGGGGTTTATCTACAAAGCAAATGCAATTCAATAAATAAATACATTCGGATAAAATTTATTAACTTGAATAAAATACGGGGTCTGGAAAGTGGAACTAAAAAAAAATGTTACTACATGTTTACTTCTGAAGAAAATAAGTGTTACTGTTTACATATTTAGGATAATATTTATAGGTTCAATATAATTTTACCTATTTGAAAAATATAATTAAGACAGTTTGGAAGAAGTTAATCTTATACAGAATGTATGGTTTCAAAATTGCGACGGAATTATTGAGGAAGTAACATTGATCTTTAGCGTTATATGCTTTGAATTGAGTGTTTTTTTTTTCGTAAAAAGTGTCTATTAGTGTCAAGTATATTTTATCGGTTATTGTCAAAGGTGGAGTGACTAACAAAATTTTTTTTACATTGTGTGTGCTCAGTGAACCGTCTTATTAAAAGTTAGATCCAAAAGAGTGTTAAAACGAAAATCACGGCTGAACTTTTCTCATACAGAATGACCTCTCGAAATTAATGATTAGTTCAAAGACGTTCTGGATAAGCAACACGGAAATTATGACTGTATATTACCAGGTAAATCCCGAGAAGGTAAAAACAAGGAAACTTACTTCAAGGTAGAGCAATGATCAATTTTCGACGGTGTTTAAGAGATAACGTTTTAATAGCTAAATTTAAAAAAAAGACCAACTTTTTTTGTAATCTTCAAATGCATTATAATTATTTTGATTTTCGATAGTAGAGAAAATCAGATGGGGTGAATCACAACTTATCCAAAAGCTTTTGGGAAGTTATTAAAAAATGTTTGGAAATTTTGAGAAAAAAATATTCGAAGTTGTATATAGAAATGTATCTTATTATTTTTTTTTCAGTATTAGGTACTGTTGTTTCTATAGTGATCTTATTACTGCAGTTTATTGTTTATATCTATCGGTCTAATTCTTATTTTTTTTGCACATTTACCTTTCTGAATATGAATTTAAAAGGTTAGTATAGGAAGACATACCATCCCTCGGAAAGGAGGAGAATGTTAGACAGGTATAAGGTCCCTACCCTACGATAGAGTGGGGATTCAGCAAAATTTCCAGGTTAGGGATTGCTCGTCTCTTGGCGTCGATGTTTAACCATAGTAGCAGAAATAGGCCAACGTAAAATAACCAAAAAAGCAAAGCAATAATTTAGACTGCAAGACCAATGAGAACAAGGAACGTTTATCTTCGTTTGTCAAAATTATAAAGGTGTAAAATCACTTATATACCTACTAATTTTTTCTTGATTAAAATACTAAATAAAATATACTGATTAAATTACACAACAGTAGAAATTAAGAACAACAATAGAATGAACGATACGATAAAACTCTTACCTTATTTATTACCTTTAATCTTTATATATATTTTTTTGTTTTCTGCGCATAAAATTTTTCTACAAGTCCATTGATATTACACTAGTTCAGACATTAGGGTCGATCAAATTCTAGTGACGCGCAGATAATTAGTTTTAAATAATTTTGGAAATGTCCTTTTTAGACTATACAGGGTGATTCATAACTTATCCAAAAAAATTTGGAAATAGATGCGGTGTGAGAAATTGAGTCAATATTTTAAAAGAAATTTTTTGTAAAATCCTTATATATACTTTCCAAGAAAAAAATTATTGAAGTTGTAGTACATTCAACTCTAGCGTCATTCGTAATACGCGTGGATAGCACGTGGCTCAGCGACTCCGAATACTGAAATTCCATTTTACAATCGTCGTCGTTGCAATAGTGTTTACTGTGGTGTTTACAATAGTTTTTTAGTAGTTAGTGTCAAAAATGGCTTGCGTGTATAGCAACTCGGAGTTGATGGATATCGTTTTAATTTTGGTGAAGCAAGACATTTTTATTATGGTGAAGCAAGACAACATTTGTGTTTACACGTCGGTGCATAAAATTAAATTGTTGTTGTAACATCAGGTATGTCAAATTATTTTATTATTTAAAGCCACAAACTAATTTTATTAATTAATAATAACAATAACGGCTAAAGCAGTTGAATTAGCTGATATAAAATTCTATTTATTTCTTTCCTTGCGAAAGTTTTTGTCCGTTTTTATCACACTTCGCTACCATGCCGGTCGCATTGTGAGAGGTCAGGTTTTACAGTGGACCAGTTTCCAGTGCCGTGCAGAAGTGTATTTTTAAATCATTTTCGAACTGCCCTTTTTGATTTTTTCCCCTGTACGTCCAAAATTATTTTTTTTTGATAAGTTTACTGTACAATTCCGTAATTTTTTGGATACGTTGTGAACTACCACGTATAGCTGGCAGATTGTAATACACTAGAACAAAAAATTAAAATTAAGGGACATAATAAAAATCCCAAATTTTGTTGAAAAAAATATGGATTATTGCCAAAAAAACATTTTCAATTTAAAAAAAAATGAATAAAAAGTGAAAAATTACTCGTTACATTGATTTTCAGCAAAAACGACAAATTTAAACAATCTGGGCAATAGGAAAAAAATGGCAGCGCTTTGAAACTAACAGGGTTTCTTTAGGACAATTTGAGGTTAAAAAATTACACTAAATATCTTTAGTGTATCCATTATGACAGGTTATTCAAAAATTTCACTTCGAAAAAATTTTTATATTATCAAAAACCAACAATTACGACTTGTACAGGATATTTTGCAATTTTCAAAACCCTACTTGGATTTTCTGTACGATCTTTATTTCCCGAGTAATTGATTATCAAAGTAAAAAATGACTTTTTCGCTTTGACCGACGATAACTTAGGGACAAATCGTCGTACAGGGCTCCGGAACCAGTGAAATTGAACAAAATTAAATTATCTAAAAAAAACTTTATGGTGAAATTACCAAAAAAATTTTTCAAGTCCATAGACTTTTTTAAAAACAAGCAAAAATTTGTAATTTCTTATAATTACTCAAAAACCGCTGACGATAAAAAATTTTAACCTCCAGATCTGAAAACTAGAAACTTGAAGTTTCAATTTTTTTTTACTCTCTCCACGACCATTTCCCTCCAACTTACACCTCTTTGATTTGAAAGTTTGGATTTTTTTTAATATCCCTTAATTTTTGTGACTAGTGTAGGTAGAGCAATAGGAACGGTAGACCGTAACCTTGCACGAGATGAAATTGAGAGTGATTAAATAAATTGCTCCGATATATATTTGCGCAAATAATGAATATTATTAGTCTCGCTGACAATTTAATAAGCAGCCGGAAGATGCATTACATGTAACATTACATATATCGGAGTCAACAATTTCAGTATCCTTTCGCTTGCTCTGATAAATAATTTGACTCGTACTATATATAATGCGTGACACAAATTATCTAATTCGGTTCGATTAAATTCCAACGACGAGTCCCTGTCGCTACGATGACGATAATTCAGGTAGTGTGTACTGAAGATGTCGAGTAATGGGTCTGTTTTGTTATTAGTGCCGTTGCGAACATATTTATCTTGTCCGCCAACGGTCAAGAAGTCGTAATTTATTGTTCGAAATTAGTCACACACTGTTGATGCAGAATATAACATACTAAGCTATGTGAACAAGATTATGTTTTAGTTACAACAATAATGATTCTTAGGTATTATTACAAGTTTAGATAGTTCAAAAGAGAAGAAGAATATGATGTATCATATTTTGCTTGGATTTTAATTAAAAATCTGTCAAAATTGCATTAAAAAACGTAATTTTTATAGTTACATTAATTTATATACATATAACAGTACTTGACAATATTTAAAGCAATAAAATCAATATAACAATGGTGGTTCTTTAAGAAAATGTACTGTATTATTTGCAGTTAAAATTCATATTTTAAATTACAGTTTGTGACAGAAATATTCAACTTGTCTTTTAAGAGTAATGAAGTTTGGAGTTCTCCATGTTCTTCAACAATGGACTTCCAGACAATGAAGTCCTTATTTTTTTTTGTTATTTCCGCCTGAAGTAAATCATTTATGTAAATACGACAATTTATCAAAACTTGTCAAGGGTTACTTTAATAAATCATTGTACCAGTTAAATGAGAACTGCTCAATCTTTTAGGCTATAGCGGATATCAACTTGAAGGTGTTTGATCCAATTTTTTTGTGAGTGTATTAAACCATGTTAAGATCCAGATTTTGTATTCTGAGTATGTAAATTATACAGAATGTCATGCGAGGAAGTATACATATTTTAAAGGATCGCATTCTTCAAGTAAAAATAAAGAAAGAATCGGAAAATGCACGGTTTTCGAGATATATGCTTTGCAAATACAAATCGTACTTTTTCTCGTAATTATTCTAATTTCATTTGTAGCTTCCTGCTATAACAATTACATATTTTTAGTGGTTAATATTCGTTTATTTGTAATTTTTGTATTTAGGGTGTTAGAAGTTTAACAGCCTTAATTTTAACAGATGATAGAATACATTAAAATAAACAAAAAAACTTTATATGACGTGGGTCCTAAATTCAACGAGAAAAAAATTATCAATCTCCAACTTGATACAAAAGTTCGATTAATTAAGGAATATTGACATAACTGAGTGCATACAATACCATAAAATACAATGTGTATCACTTTTTTCACTTCTTTATGCTTAATTCTAAAAAATAATTAGCGTTGTAATTTTAAAATTCGATAAAATTCATATCGAGCAATGTAACAACGAGGTACTAAGCTGTCCAGCAAGACGCAATTCAGTTGATGTTGGTATTTGGAATTGGACCGTGTTGGAGTGTTTTTTACCACTATTTCCTTTTCCTGAGGTGTTTTCTAGCGAGTGCTCGAAAATTGGATTCGAAGGTGTCGTGCGTGCATCGAAAATGGTGGTGAACATTTTGAGCATATATTTGTTTTGTACTTGTGCGTTTAAAAATTACTTAATTTTGCTTTTTGGCAAGTCCCTAAAATATTTTTAATACGTATGATTATTTGGACAACGTGAATCTTTGAGTACTTTACAAATTTTTCAAATTCATAATTTGATTAAAAGTTAAGTTCCTGTATTAAGAGATTCATAATTACTAAAATTCCAGCTAAAATTTAAGTACAACACTATCCTCGTACTACAAAATCGATACATTTTATTTACTTATTTAAAAACTGGAAAACAATTGTCTTGAAATTAATGTTTCACAATAATAGTTGTTTACATTTTTTCCGTAGGATAAGTCTGCCGCGTGCACATGTGCTGTTGTCACGTTGTGATGAAACTCCCCAATATTAATATTCGTTGTATTTTGAAAACTGCCCTATAATATACAACTTTTTTGTACATTTATGATTATTCTATCTCATGCTGAAGTAATGGCATCCATACTCCTTACACCCTGTATATTTTTTCATTTTTAAAAGTTTCTTTATGTGAATGTCTTAATTAGAATAATTAGAATAATTAAAATTCTCTTGAAGAAACTGTAGCTCCTACTTAAAATAAGAAGATAGTTCAATTAACTTGGTAGTCTAAGAGAATACGAAAGTGTTAGAACATTTTTTGCAAATGTGTGATTTAACAAGGTATGTATATTCTAAAAAATTCATAAATGTAGAATGGAGATTCATCAAATCAAGTAGCTTGATGCCTTTAGATACTCCTAAACTCAAAGTCAACTATTTTCTTTATTTAACTTCTGCTTGACTTGTCTTTTTACTATTATTGCCTTTTGACTTGGACTTGCTACTATTTGATATGATTGAAGCATTTCAAAAAGTGCGGGAATTGTAATCCTGAAGTAGAGTATCAATTTTGTAACATTTTTAACATACCACTGTTTTGATTTTGAGGTGTTTAAACTCGTATTTAAGTAAATAGGAAGGCGTTTTACCGAATCTAGTTGCAATAACAAAAGATTTTTTATCCTCACTAGCACCTTTTGCAATATTATTTCTGTAGAAGCCTCATGTGTCTTACATTAGCAGATAAAGAAAAAAAATATGAGAATGTGAATTCGTTTATGTTTACTAGGTGGTTAATATAATAACATAATTTATGAAGAAATTTATATTAGTTCGTATTTTCCAATTTATTATGATAAAAAACAATAGGATTTTAAACAATTAAGTAATCTCGAATAACTTCTTGAATTTTCAAGTACTTAATATACCTACGTGACTTGACTTGACATTCCACCAATATTAATTGATTGGATTTACACATTTTAAAAAAGGTTTTCCCACTCGCATCTACTATCAGTACATAACGATAAAAATTGTATTATATATTACTTATTACAAATAAATAAATTAAATACAAAATAAAAATTTAGAATATAAATTTTCTAACGTTGATTTTAAAATGCCCGCAGTTTGAAGTACATTTCAATGGTTTTATATGTCAAAATAAGGGCTGATACTTGCCCATCAACAGACCAAAGTCAAGTACTCTTCGCAGTTTTAGAAAATTCGGCAAAACAGGCAATCGATACATACCTATATTATGCAAGAAAGATTTTACATTTTTCTGGTGCTGTACCAAATAAATTAATCTCTTATAATTTGCTCCATATTTCTTCCGGGACTTATCCAATAATAATTTAATACGACACTTCGTGCCGCATTTGTAATTTCTGGATGAGAAGTCTCTTGATCACTGCCACTATTACTCATTATTATAATAAGTAAAATAATACTTTTAAAAAGTGGCAATAACTTTTATAACTTGTTAAATTTTGATTATTGCAATGATCGTCGAGATAAAATGAAACAAAATGTCCGTAGTAAATATGTATATCGCACTAACTGGTTATTATATACAGGGTGTTTCTGAAATAAGTGTGTTGGTCTAAAACATTACACCATATCTGCTAGTTCTTGATCAAAAAACATTTTATACTCCGGTTAATTTATACTGCAACACAACGCACGTGTACAAGATGCACAGGGTCGGTTTACATTTATGGTTAGTTTTCTTAATTAATTTCCACGAAAACAGAAGCATTTAGATTTAGACCATCAGTTGCTTTTTAAAAGTTGTAAATTACTGAAATTTTTGTCACAGGTTTTCTACTGCCAAAACTGAAAACACTATTTTTAAATTTGCGGAATAAAGCGAGTAACTTTAGAAATATGGACACAACATTAAACTTATTTTCTGGTTAAATTGGTCGGATCTAAGCGTATATAGAAATAATTGTAAGTACTAACCTGCCGAAGAAATGCCACTGTCCATCGACACCGTCAACGGACTCGACACTGCACCGGGTGACAGTTCCGGCTTCTTGGCGATGGTGGCGTAGATACTGCCGTCCAGCGGTCCGAAAGTGTGGTTTACGTCGTCTGGAACAAAATAAAATTTATTTTTAGGAGTGATCTTAATGTTTTTAATTGGTGCATAAATTGTTTATATCTCCGTAATGAACCGCGATAAAAAAATTAGTCGGCATATACTGGGATGTCCGCCACACCAACATTTTGCGAATGGAATTAGTTTTATGGAGTTACAGTAACAGAATTAGATGTTTGTAATTCTTAAAATTATATGTAACCGGACAAACAAAATATATCTTAACTCAGATAATGACAATAATAACAAAATTGTTTACCTTCTCAATAAATTTTGTTTCCACACGACAAAGTGATAGAAAGAGTTTGTGAACATTTCCTAAATAATATTCTGAATTCTTCTATACATATTTTTTTGCTGAATGTGATTTTATAAAAAAGTATAGAAGTCATCAGAAAATCGCCGATTTAAATAAAAATTTTCAGATAGTCTACATGTCATGTCATGTCATGTTATAAATCAAATACTTAATTTTTCATTCGATATTTTTCAACAAACGTAAAATTGTATTTTTGTTTCTTTAGGTGTTTATGTCAATAATTGTACCCCGCTTACTATTGTTGTCTTCGAATTTAGAAAAACAAAACATGATATGGACAAAAGTTGTAGGATATTTTCTTGTGAATTTCATGATACATGCCAAAATACGTATTTTCTTTGACAAAACACCCTGTATATTTCTCAACATTACAGTGGTGTGGGCCCATCTTTAATAATAAGAGAGACCAAAAGTGTTTATTGTTAGCATACTCTTGGCCATATCTTCCTTATTATCAGAGATAGACATATCGAACCTTATATCACAATAATGTCAAGACAGGGGTCTGTTCAAATATTTAAAAATATACAGTGTGTTGTACAAAAAGTATGCTTTGCTTGTATGCAACATTTTATTGTTTTTCTAAGTACAGTTCTAAAATTACGAGAAATTTTTTTACAATTTTAGTCCATACCATTTTTGTCGAACACTGTTATGTGACTGAGCATTAATACAATGAAATTAAATCATCAATAATAATCAAAGCCATTGAAATTACAAAGTAGTGCATACTTCTAGAATTATCTGCTATTTTAAAAAGGTAACTTATTTGTTCCATTTTTTGCAGTAAACGTAAAAATTTCTAGCTAAATTTTATTTTATCATAATTTCTAGTTTAGTTTCATTGCGGAAACCTGTGTATTATTGTTTAAAATTCAAGCAAAATATTAGTGAATTAACTGGTCAATTATTTTTCATTTATTCTTGCTTTTAACTGAGGTTTCTTTTTGTGAAAAGACAGTCAGTTTGGAGTGTGTATCTGTGTTCATAAGTGCGAATAAAAATACTAAAATTGCCNATAATAAGAGAGACCAAAAGTGTTTATTGTTAGCATACTCTTGGCCATTTCTTCCTTACTATCTGTTCAAATATTTAAAAATATACAGTGTGTTGTACAAAAAAGTATGCTTTGCTTGTATGCAACATTTTATTGTTTTTCTAAGTACAGTTCTAAAATTATGAGGAATTTTTTTACAATTTTAGTCCATACCATTTTTGTCGAACACTGTTATGTGACTGAGCATTAATACAATGAAATTAAATCATCAATAATAATCAAAGCCATTGAAATTACAAAGTAGTGCATACTTCTAGAATTATCTGCTATTTTAAAAAGGTAACTTATTTGTTCCATTTTTTGCAGTAAACGTAAAAATTTCTAGCTAAATTTTATTTTATCATAATTTCTAGTTTAGTTTCATTGCGGAAACCTGTGTATTATTGTTTAAAATTCAAGCAAAATATTAGTGAATTAACTGGTCAATTATTTTTCATTTATTCTTGCTTTTAACTGAGGTTTCTTTTTGTGAAAAGACAGTCAGTTTGGAGTGTGTATCTGTGTTCATAAGTGCGAATAAAAATACTAAAATTGCCCATCAATAACAGTCAATTGTCAATTAATGAATCTTCAAGAGCTGCATATGGAGCCGCTGTTGATGCAGTAAGCGGCGCGGCGGTTCCAAAAATGTTTCGTCTTATTATTGTGGTAATTTAGTAGGTATCGAAACAAATATTTTGTTTGTATCATTTGACTTTTTGCACTTCGATTTATTTACTGTTCTCATTTTGTAAATACTCGTATACAGGGTGCTTCAAAATGGTGGCCAAAAATGAAACCTCGTATTCTTGGAGTCTTTCCTATAAAGTTTTTATGTAGGTCGCTTCGCTAAAAGATACACGGTGTTAAAAATTTTTAAGTAATTTAAAAACTAGTAAGTGAAATAATTTGAAATTGGGCACATGTATTTATGTAAACATTGTCCAAAATGGCCTTTTTCTAAAATTTAGTTGTTTCAGTGGCGGATATACAGGTATCGGTGACAGAGTGGCATATTTTTCTAACTAAAATAATACGCCACTGCTTTATGGTACAATCATAAAATTTTCGGATTCGTCTCTTAATTTTCTACAAATTACTACACTACCCTCTTATGTTTTTCGAAAAATGCCTGATTTTCGAGTAAAACTTAAAAAACGAAATGAAAGCACACTTCCATATTCGAATATAATGCTTTTTAAAATAGAATAAAAATAAAATAATAAATAATGCAACAATATCAATATTTAATTTATCAATAATAAATTTCGAACAAATTACATTTTCCTTATCAAAAAGTTGTCGGGCCTGTGTTCGTGGAAATGGAGGCATTTTTTAGCATTTACTAAATTAAAATCATTTAAGTTTTACTCGAAAATCAGGCTTTTTTCGAAAAACATAAGAGAGTAGCAATTTGTAGAAGATTGAAAGACGAATCCCAAAATATCATGGTTGTCACCATAAAGCAGTGGCGTAGGTACTATTTTATTTTTAGAAAAATATGCCCTGTATCTCCGCTATTGGAGCATGTAAATTTTAGGAAAAGCCCTCAGATTTTGGACAATGTTTACCTAAATACATGTGCCAATTGCAAATTATTTCGCTTACTAATTTTTAAATTATTTAAAAAAATTAAAAATATTTTTTGAAGTTTAACACCCTGTATCTTTTTAACGAAGCGTCCTAGATAAAAACTTTATAGGAAATACTTCCATTAAAATTCACCAAAGAATACGAGGTTTAATTTTTGGTCATCATGTGTGAATCACCCTGTATATAAGTTTATGGTATTTAAATGGTTGTGCAATAGAAACATTCAGGATTGGGCAATTGGCTACCATACCTTATATTGTCGTCACCCTGAGTTCTATAGTATTCAATTATAATCTTTAATTTCATAATCTCATGAATATCTTTGTAGTAGGTATACCTACTTTAAATGATGATTCAAAGCAGTTTAAAACTGCATTATATCTTTCGACATCCACTAAGCCGCATTTTCCACTGTCTAGCCGAAGTTGACAACTAGGACGAAAAATTTCTCATCTCCTAACCGACATAAATACACCACTCTTATAATACTATCCTATACGGCAAATCCATAAATAATAAAAGAAAGACAGTTTCATTTGGCCATGTTTGGATGTCATAACTATAAATGAGAGATTTCCTTATATTGATTTATGGATAGATAGCATCTAATGTGTCGTACAACACTAAGCATATATGAGACTTTCATTTCTATAAGAGAGCTGATACAAGACGGTGATACTTCAGTGATACTTTGACATTTAGAAAGCCATGACATAGTATTACCTATTATAAAGAATTTGTATGCACGAATTTTTAATGTTAAATTGCAAGGTAACTGCGAGGAAAAAATAGAACCTTAAAATTCATAACATATCGTGCAGTAAGGTACATGAAATATAACTTAAAATTTCTTTTAAAAATTATTTTCAAGATGCCTTTTTTGGCGATGTCAATATAGTGAAATAAAATAACAATAGACCAGTAGAGAGATCTATAATATCGAATTGCAGGAATCGATAGCAGATGTCCATAGCTGACCGTTCAGTTATTAACAGTTTCGTACACAAACGTTTTTTTGAAATTTGCTGCTAAATAGGAAGATATTTATGAAGACTAGCACAATGATGAAAAGGGAACAATATAGAAAAATAGCCGAAAACAAAGAAAAGAGAAGGATAAAAGTTGAAATAGAACAAAATAAAAAGATAGGATAAAATTAAAAAAAAAACAAGAAATAATCACGAAATTAATATGAAACAGGAAAAAATTACATAGATTTTTTTGTTAATCTGGTATAAACTTTGACAATAGAAAGTATCTAAATATAATTCTAGAAAAAAATGTGATATAGGTCCGATTTCTTTTTATTTTGAAATTATAGGAACTTTAAAGGTTGGAAGTTTGAAAATCATTTAATTACAATTCGCAACATCTACGTATTGTTTCTGATTTAGGTTGTTATTTTGGATTCTTTGCAGAAAGTAAGTCACATGGGTTTAGATCCGAATATCTTAATGGCCATGGTATCAGAGCCACCTTATCTATCCACTTATATGGAAATTGTGTGTTATTTGACTTTCTCGGCAAGGAAGCGCGCTTTAAAAAATCATCAAAAATTGAATTTTAAAAAAATTGTTTTTCTAGTTATTGTATCATTTTCTAGGTTCTGAAAATTTCAAATCGATATTTTCATTTCTAAAGGTCGCTCATAATTATTTTAACTTTCAAAGTAGTGTACCTATGTCTTCGAGCGACCTCTAAATAATAAATATCAACGACTTCATAATTTTTTTTATTGAATTTGATGAACAAAAGAATAGAAATAAATCACGACACTTAATTTTAAAAAAAATAAAAAATTATAAATATTTGATTCAGTGCGGTAGTAGATTTTGCCTCGAGAAATTTTTTAAAGGTCTCGTGATTTATTTCTATTCTTTTGTTCATCAAATTCAATAAAAAAAATTATGAAGTCGTTGATATTTATTATTTAGAGGTCGCTCGAAGACATAGGTACACTACTTTGAAAGTTAAAATAATTATGAGTGACCTTTAGAAATTAAAATATCGATTTGAAATTTTCAGAACCTAGAAAATGATACAAT